CTCTCTCTCTCTCTCTCTCTACTCTCTCTCTCTCTCTCTCTCTCTCTCTCTCTCTCTCTCTCTCTCTCTCTCTCTCTCTCTCTCTCTCTCTCTCTCTCTCTCTCTCTCTCTGAATTGAACCAAGCATGCATCCTAGGCATTCTCTATCTGTCTTTCATGGAGGTGCATTGCTGCTCCCACATTATCCTCCCTAAACCCATGTAGTATGCATTTTTGGATGGAATGCCATGTTATTTACCTGCTCCACTTGAAGGTGGAGGTACATGTTTGCATGGAAAGAGGGTGTCCCTCCAATTTCACGAACAGATACCCTCTTCCTCGAAGCAGTTTCAATGTTCAAGATCCTCCGTGACATCACATCCACCAGGTTGTAGCAATGCCCAACTGAAACATCCCTCATGGTGATGCGCTGAAAACTCAGAAAACTAACTTTTGGTATTATATTGCATCAATTCGATTAATGTTATTTTAGTCATTTGGCAAGAAATGATATATTCATGAATGTCTATTCTAGATTTTTCCCCCATTGCAAATTGATAGAGAATGATTTATTATTCTTTGCTTCTGTTATGATTTGATCATGTCTTGCACCTCCTCGATTGCTTTTGTATTTGTGTTTCACAAGCCAAAGGAACGACAATGGCCAGAAGGATTTTAGATGCGTGGTATTTGTTATTGTTCATGACATACATGTAATGCTTCATTGAGGTCGGATGCCTCAAGCAGGTCACGAGATATGAAATTTCTGGCAATGCCTCCTGGTGTGATCTCTGCCTCTGTCGGGGGCACTGAATTAAGTGTGAACGCCTGCGGAGTAGAATGAATTATAAGAGGCATGCGTCTGTTAAAGAGGAGTGAATACGTAACATAATTTTTACACACTGTGCTACCTATATCAGAAAAGTTAGTAGTGCTGAATTCACCAACTTCATGTTATGACTCTCTCTCTCTCTCTCTCTCAAACACACACACGCGCGCACCCACACATACGCAGATGTTTTTGGCACCCTGACTGCCAAACAAACATACAACTTCCTTCACCAACAATCTTTGGAAGTAGAGTATATTTGTAAATTTCTTGAGATATATAGAATTTGAACTCTTTCTCAGGTCTTCCTGGTCAACCGCTAATCCCCAAACAAAAACACAACTTTCTTCAGCAACAATGTTTAAAAGCAAAGTGTATTTGTAAATCTCCAATCTCTGACTCGCAAGTGTATTTATAGGTATCTTGAACTCTGTTTAATTGAAGCAGGGAATGGGGACTAACCAGACCATGATTGTTGAAGCCAAAAGCACAAGAAGGGAGCTCTCCAGCATATGTATAAGCAGTGAAAGAGAGTCCACTAAGCATCTTCACTTTAACTAAATAACTGCAAATGCTTCATGTTTAAGTCATGGTTATTATACTTCATAATCAATTTCAACATAAAGTGTTGTGTTTATCGGAAATTCGGCAGCAATTCAAGTCATAGCGATAAAATGAAATGCAAACTACAAAACTACCACTTGCAGGGAGGAACATTTCAAATTGGAACCAATTCAAAGAAAGAAAACTTAAAATGATACTTGATTGCATTTTTATATCTAAAAATTATTACACTAACCCTTGTTTGTTGAAACATTAAAAAGTAAATAAAAAAAGGAAAAGTGTAGCAGAAATCAGTGGAAGCTTGATGGTAGACAATCACTTTTCTAATGGGTCCGATTGAATTTGGGCTGGCCTGCACATGCATATTTATAGCGCGTACTCAACAAAAATGAAAGAAAAAACTCAAAACATGTAATCGGGTACACTTTACCGACATATAAACGCCCCAATTATCATGTAAAAATGATTTATAAAATACAAAAATATTTGTGGCCCTTGGAGAGTCTTGTATTAAAAATCTGCATAAGAGGTCAGTCGGATGTTAGAAAATGTCACTCCGACAAAACTATGCAACTGACCCTATTGACCTCGAGATAACTAAAAATGAGGTAAAAAGATAATTTCAAGTCCTAAAAGTATTGTGATTTTTAACTTACATCATTTACAAGATTCTCAAGTATTTGTAGATCTGCTTGATTTGCAAAATCTTTGAACTTTAAATTTTATAATTAGATGTAAAAAATAAATATATCAGGCCAAAATCACAACACCAAAATTACATCTTCAAATACAATTTGGAGGTGTGCCTTACTTTGATTGTTTGAAGTTGACACCTTATGAGGCCACACCTTAATAAAATCTGTTTTTTTTTAACCTCCCAATGTTAGAGATTTCAATTTTTTTTATAACCTCCTAGTATAGGAGGTCTAAATATGGGACAAGGGTGAAGTCAGAATTTGAAAAAATACAATAAAAAAGGATTAGAGGTCAACCTAAACAGATTATTAGGCACCACAGCTCTTCATAGTTCAAAGCTTTTGCATCTGAAACAAACTGGAATATGATGTAGACAATATTTATATCGTCATTATCATCCAAACCCTATCCTAACTATTTGAGATCGGTAGTATTCACATTTCCATAAAATACAAGGAGACCACTTACTTCACATAGATATCCTGTACAACATTCCTATTCATTTTGTTGACATCTAACAACAAAAGATGTGTGACAATTAAGGGTGGAAAGTGATGGGGTTAAGGTCTAGGTTGACTCGGATCCAAACCCGACCCAACTAGGTTTAAGTTAGACTTGGACCCGACATGTGGGGTCTGGGTTTGGATATAAAAAAATATAAAAAGTTATGTAATATATTTATAATACATGGTTACTAGATATTTATAAAGGAAAAAGCTGACGTATTTCCACTAGCTCACAACTACATATTAGCTCGACATCCCAGATTCAATTTGAGACGATCTGACGGATTTTATTTGGTATTTTAATTTTTTCTAGAAATCCAAATCACATGAAATTTTAAGCGTCTATTCTTCTTATCAAGGTGCACCTAATAAAACTATTAAAAAAATAATCCGCAATAAATAAATTGACCAAAATACCTCTAAAACATTTTGGGGGTATTTTGGTCAATTTATTTCTTACAAATTATTTTTTTGATATTTTTATTAGATTCTCATATTTTTGAAGAACACACGACCAAAATTTCAAACGACTTGGATTTGTAGAAAAAAAATTAAAATTAAAATACGAAACAAATTCGTGGTAGTTAGATCGTCCCAGATTGAATCTAAGCCGTTGGACTCATATGTAACTGTGAGCTAGTGGGCTTACGCCAACTTTTTCCATTTATAAATACCTTATAAATATACATTCCGGGTTGGTTCGGGACCCCCGACAAGACCCAACCTGACCCGATTGGGTCCAAGTTGAACCCGAACCCAAACTCAACCTAGGTCTGGTCGGGTCAAGGTCAAGTAGACCCTGAGCTCACCTGCCTATTATGTTATCTGGGTCTAGAACCGGGCCTGGTGGTGTCGAACCATTGGGTCCACTGCGTGATCCAACACGTTTCTCACCCATAATGAGAGTAATGCAAAAAAAAGATAGATATTGGTTGCATCATTTGCAGTTTTCCAACCATATCTTTATGATAGGATCAGCGAGGGATCACCAGTCTAAATGGTTTTTCCAGATTTCAAAAATGTTAATAAAATATATGTATAATAGTTTGAAGATACAAAATAGGTTACCCACTTCGTTTGCCATGTTGAACCAGTCGAAATCGACAATCAGATTGGTGAAAACCAACCAAACACTAGTTTTGACAGAGTTTTTAACAAACCCAAATTTTACTCTAGACCATTTCCCCAAGCTAAGTTCCATCAGGTGGCAAGATCTGCATGCTAAATTTATTGGGTCCGTACTCAAGTATATTATGTCGTGATGACGACAGGATATATGTGCTCAAGACAGTCATTGCTCTCCACTGAATATATTGAACTGTGATGGGGAGAGAGTGGTAACACCATTGAAGTCATGTCATGCTCTGGTGTATGCCCAACTCTTTCTCTATGACTGTCCGAGTCATTATTGGAGGACCCTCGCAACCACTAGTTTCTTGTGGCCATGACTACAGGTTATATATTTTGAACTTTTAACTGATGTGAGCTCAATGCAAGTAAATTGGTATTACGTGTGGCCGATGAGAGAGAAATTGGCGTCCTCATTATGTGCAGCGATCGCCAAGGAGGTGTCGACAAGGAGGACATCAGAACAATCATCAGCTTCCTCCTTCACCTCTTTTGGTAGGAATGGGATTATTTCCTTTCTAAAGTTCAGCATCAGTATCTGCAAGATCAAATTTGGGGAAAAAAAATCATATAGATTAGTCGAACCACTAAATTTGGTGGCCTAGCCACTTTGCTATTGGGCTGGCAATGGGCCAGGTGGCTCAGCTTGGTCAGCCTGGCCCAAGCTTTCTTTTCTTTTCATTTCTTTCTTTTTTTTTCTTTTTTTTTTTTTTTTTTTTTAATACTTTTGCTTCATTTATTTTTGTCCCCACCCAGCCCTAACAGTGCTAGAGCCTCACTCGTGCGCCCCTAGGGGAAAGGGCCAAGGCAGTCTGGGTCCGTTTGAACTCAATTCTCTTTGTGAACAATTTCAAAATAATGAATACAGTTGGACACTGTAACTCCAAAGTATATTCGAATACTAATGATTAATTTACGCACAAACCCTAAATTTTTTCTTGCTCCAGGTATAGGAGGAATTTACAAAGAGGTTGGTCAACCCTTTTTTTTTTTTCAAAATTGTCTCTCAGTCCGAAGATATCCTCGGACCAAACTTTTTAGTAAATGCTTTTAGTTTTTTCCGTTAGAATGGCAGGTTGACCGACCTCTGTATTTTCTGCATATAAACAGAGTATTTCGTATTATAAAAAAAAATTAGGATCCGTGTGTAAATCACTCGATACCAATTAATTGGATTATGGTATGCTCTCTCTTAATGGCTTGTTTTGGACAGACCACTTAATCAAGAATAACACTATTTCCTGGTTTTAGGTAGTACGGCTCGTCCCCGCCGTTTACTTAGACTTGTGGTGCTAAACACTCATAAATCTTAATAAAAATGAAAACCTTGCTTTACCCTTATTTCCAAATTAACCTAATATAGAACAAGATTACCTGAGCATACAAATGACTAATCAATTGGCCATGGATATTTTCTCCTTAAGGATCAGTTTGGAAGGACCATTTTATCATCGCTATTACTACTATTAGGGCTGTCCATCAGTGAGCATTTTTAGCAAGTGTTTCTTCTGCTCCAGCTACACCCTGTTTATCTCCTCTACTTATTCACATCACAGTGCAGCTGAACATGAACAGGCTCTCAACCTTGTTAAAAAGAACACATGTTTCACCCCCATTTCCAATTTAACCTACCATGCACAAAATTATCAGAGCATCCAAACGGCGCGAACATAAACAGTATTTTGGAAAAGAAAGCATACACTGAGGAAAGAGACCCCACTTCCATGTGCCATCCCCAAGAGCTCATCCCAATACCTGGGAAACATGCCCCTGTCCAAGTCCTCTTTCATTTTTAACAATGCTCAATCTTATAGATAAACTTTGAGTGTATAGGAATAATAGGGAAGAAATAAAAATGAAACAGTAAACAGAAATGAAAAGAAATGAGAGAGAGAGGACCTATTGTTAGTGGAGAGGGATTGAATAAGGGCATGGCCTTGAGGAGATTGAGAAAAAGGAAGAAGATGGTTGAGGAGGACTTGGTCCTTGGCCACTCTGCTCTTAATCAAATGGGAGAATTTTCTCCCAATCACTAATCCCATTTCATAGCCATCACATCCTTCTATCTCTAAAACTGGTATCTCTCCATCCATCTCTCTCTCTCTCTCATAAGTGGTATTTAGATGACTTTACATGGCCCTATAAATCTTATCCTTCTTTTCCATTTACCAATCGTTTATTTATGCATTAACTTACATAGTGAGTGAAATGATATACAACATAAAGGAGACACTGCTCGTAAAAGGAAAAAATCTCTAGCCCGATTCGATAAAAGTAAGATGCACAACAAAAACACTACCGAAATGGTTGTTCCTAATAGAAGGATAGGGAAGATTAGTTTAGAAAAAAAAGGAAAATATCTTCTTATCCCCTATTTTTTACTTATATATCTCATGAGACCAAATAATCAAAAATATTACTTATAAGCAAAAGGTTTCCATCTTTTTTATCTTACAACCCTCTAGACCGAAAAGATGGAGACCTTTTACTTACCAGTAATATTTTCAATCTTTGGGTCTCATCAGATATAAAAGTAAAAAATAAAAGATAAAGAGATATTTTCCCTAAAAAAAATTGAAAGATTGAGTCTAGGCTCCTAATTTTGGATAGATTACAAAAGTGTCTTGCACTTCAAGGAGTAGGATGTAAATAAGTAATGGGATTTCCATATAAAATGAGGCAAAGATACTCAGAAAGTAATGGAATACACGTATACCTATTTACTCCATTTTTCCCTTTAGTGCAACAATCCTGCAACTCTAAACTAACCTCATTTACTTTCTTTTAAAAGAAAAAGTCTCCAGCCTTATACCATAGGAGTAAGGTGTACCACAAAAACTCACCCCAAATAGTATAGAAAGACTGGAAAGATTGAGTTTAGAAAAGATTGAGTCTGGGCTCCTAGTTTTGGAAAGATTACAAAATTATCTTGTACTTCAATGAGTAGGATATAAATAAGTAATGGGATTTCCATCTAAAATAAGGCAAAGATACTCATAAAGTAATGGAATACACATCTTCCTATTTATTCCATTTTTCTCTTTAGTGCAACAGCCCTACAACTCTTGGCTAACCTCATTTCCTTTCTTTTAAAATAAAAAGTATCCAGCCTTATACTATAAGAGTAAGATGCACCGCAAAAGTTCACCCCAAATGGTTGTTCCTAATAGAAAGATTGGAAATATTAAGTATAGAAAAGATTGAAAGATTGAGAGATTGAGTCCAGGCTCCTATCTCTAGCCCTATACTATAGGAGTAAGGTGCACCCCAAAAATTCACCTCAGATGGTTGTTCCTAGTAGAAAGATTGGAAAGATTGAGTTTATTAAAGATTGAAAGATTGATTCTAGGCTCCTAGTTTTGGAAAGATGACAAAATTCTTGTAGTTCGACAAGTAGGATATAAATAAGTAATGGGATCTCCATCTAAAATAAGGCTAAGATACTCGGACAGTAATGGAATACATTTGTTTCTATTTATTTCATTTTTGCCTGTAGTGCGGCAGTCTTACAACGCTAGGCTAACCACATTTCCTTTCTTTTAAAAGAAAAAATCTTGAACCTTGTACTATACGAGTAAGGTGCACCGTAAAAAATTCACCCGAAATGGTTATCCCAAACAGAAAGATTGGAAAGATGGAGTTTCGAAAGGATGAAAGATTGAGTCTAGGCTCCTCGTTTTAAAAAGACTGCAAAATAGATTTGTAGTTCGACGAGTAGGATGCAAATAAGTAATGGGATTTCCATATAAAATAAGGCCAAAATACTCATAAAGTAATAGAATACATATGTTATTATTTATTCCATTTTTCCCTTTAGTGCAACAGCCCTACAACTCTAGGCTAACCTCATTTCCTCTTTTTAAAAAAGAAAAAGTCTCCGGCCTTGTACTATAGGAGTAAGGTGCACCGCAAAAATTCACCCCAAATGGTTGGTTCTAACCAGTGTTTAAAAAAACGTCGAGTCGAACTGGACTCGCCCGGTTCTTCTCGGGAATCGCCATGAACGGATCGAATCGGCGAAAAAAATAGGAATCGTCCGGTTCTAGAGAGAACCGGACGATTCTGTGCAGTTACTCGCGATTCACTGTACGGAATCGGCGAGTCCGTACAGTTAATCGGCGAGTCCCGTACGGAATTTTTTTTTATTTTTATTTTTTATTTTTATTTTTTTTTTTTATTTTTATTTTTATTTTTTTTTTATTTTTTGTAATCCATGATAGATTTTTTTATAATACTTGATCGATTTTTTTGTAATCCATGATAGAATTGTTTTTTTTTTTGTAATCCATGATCGAATTTTTTGTTTTTTTTTCTTTTGTAACCCATGATAGAATTTTTGTAATCCATGATCGAATTTTTGTAATCCATGATCGAAATGTTTGTTTTTTTTCTTGTAATCCATGATCGAATTTTTGTTTTTTGTTTTTTTGTAACCCATGATAGAATTTTTGTAATCCATGATCG